GCTACTTCATCCATTAATCCCTTTTTTCTGTGCAAGTCTCATAGGTTATTTTACTGAGCGTGGCAACAAAGATAAGCCCAATCTTGTTCCTACAAAATGCGACCCATGCATACTTTCTAGTAAGGGTCACTGTATAATAATTTGAAGAAAAATACAACTGTTCTTTACCTTATCTTGTAAAATTTGACCCATTTTAAATGGAGTTAGATTTCCACTGAAGGGAGGACGGGAAGAAGAAAGGGATCAAGTCTCTGATGCCCAACGTTTCTCTACTCGCTTTTTTGAGAGCATTAACATTCCTTTTGACTAAACAGAGAATTGATTCTCAAATCAATTATTCCAAAATTGTAGGGTTTTTTAATCCCGAGGTGTTTTGCCAAAGGCTAGAATAGGAAAGGTTCAGCTGTAGCGGTGCAGCGAATATTTATTCCAATAAAGAAAACCATAATCACAAGAGGCACGTGTCCAGCCAACTTTATCCATCAAATTAACCTAAGCCTCGCTAACACTGGAGGCCAATCTGGCTGCAATATCTGTCACTGATCTCTGAGGTCCATTGAACTGCTTTGGTTGACCAGACAGATATCCACTGCTGGAAGCTCAGTATCCTGTAGTTTCAGTATTGGCAGTGTGAAAGAAGAGGAAACAAGGTACATGTTTATTTATATGCAGACAAAAATTACAAAATAGAGTCTAAAAGGAGAGGTCTAACAATGTAAATGGGACTTGAGATCACAACCAAATTTACAAAGTACTCAAAATGGACCATTTCTTAAAGAATGTTCTTTAAGAATGTCAGTACAACTGCCTCACTTTACCTATTGGTACATGCAAGTGCACAATCACTTGTGGTAATCCTATGCTTCATGTTCTGTCCAAAGTGGGTGAAAATTCTCAACAATCAGACATTCAGCACTTCCTATCATGATGAGTCGCAGTTGCTTTGCACTTGAAGTATACACTTCAGAGTCTGAATCCAAGTTTGTACTTTTAATTTATTAAACTTTTGATTTTTTTCATAAAAGTGGCATTCAATATTCAAAATGAGAAATAGGATAGATTCAGTATTACAACATCACTTGTGAGTTATTCTGCCTACTATCACTCAGTGGGTTAAATTTCTGCATTCACCATTCCACATGATGCATCCTCAATACAAACAAACATTATTTTGCTACCATGACACAGCAAACACTACCCTTTTGAAGAGCAGGTCGCTTTTTTTTTCACATTTGTTGCCTTAAAATATTTATGCGACGGTGGTCAAAACCGCATTTTGTGCTTTGAAGCGTTTTTTTTCCCACAAACAAACCCTTCAGAGCGTGGCGGGGGGAGGTGGGGAGGGTGAGAGAACAGGGAACAAAACCAGAGGAAGATTAATAAGAGTTACAGATGCCAAAATCAGGGACAGATGGAGCAAAGTCTGAGCCAGAGAAAAAGTGGATTTGGGCCAGTTACGAAGTTTAGAAATAGGAAAGGCAGTATTTTCGGCTGACTGCAGCCTGCTCATTTAAATATTCCAACTGCATTGTCACTGTTCCTTGGGGGTGAGGTCTGGGCTTCTTCACAGCCACTATCAATGCTTCCAGGAGGATGTGATTCAGGCAACACCAGTCAGTCTCTATCATTTGAAACAGTGCTGAAATTAACCTTTTTTTTTACATAAACGAAGGAAAGATTTCAAAAAAATGCAATTCTTTTTATCTCAATTCATGTCTCTAAAGAATCATTTCTTCCCACTCTTCGTTTTCACCAAAAAAATTTGGCTGTGAGCTTGGGGAGAGGAAGGAAAGAGAAAAGGGAAAGATTTTTGTTCCTTCCATTCTACTACCTTGGTTGTGTGATTTCTCAAACTCAGCAGCCACTGATCCGAACTCTGTGTTGTAAATGCAATATTCCATCTCTCGGGGAATGGGCAGAAACCAGATGGCTCTCTATTGTTCCAGTTGCACCCTCTTATCAGCAAGCTGTGAAGCAGTGTTGATAGCATGTTGATAAAGCCCACTACTCTGCCTCCAGCACTTGATATTGATCCAAAGTCTAGGTAGCGAGCGGCATATTACTGAACTAAAGAATGTATTCCATCAGTAAGGTATAGCTAATAAAGGAGATCTTTATAACAAATAGAATTTTTAATTTAATAGTTATAATGGTATACATTATTTATATACGCACACCAACCCACCCAGCCTGCTTAAACGCCATAGATACAGAACCCTTCCCGGTACTTCACTAAAAATGTGTTATCTTCATTTGTGTCTGCTCCTGGACAGAGACGATGCAGCAAGATAATTTATTTCAATCCAGATCTCATTAGTTAAAAAAAAACCTTACATTTGCTTTCACCTCAGGACAACATCTCAAAGCACTTCACACATTCGCTGTGAAGTGTAGTGACTGTGTAGTTTGGCAGGCGAACATTTAGGTTCCTCCTATCCTCCCACCATTCCCAGTCGGTGCAGGCAAGCTAGAAATCTAGTCTCGCCTTCGTATTGACCATCTCTCTATTTTGCCTCCAATTCCTGTCTCCTTGAAGTGCCCCAGTCAAAAATGAGAACTCACTGTGGGCGATCTCACAGAGCAAGGCAGCTATTTATAGATGATGACAGTTGTACTTCTTTTAAGGTTATGCTGTGAACTGCAAAGTGTCATGGGCATTGTAAAATTCTGCTTTTTATATTATATTTATTTTTATATTCAGTTTTTTTTAAAGAAAACGATGGTTCACATTCGGAATATTAAAAGCTATAATGGACATGAAGCACGTAAGGAGCCAGCAACAATGAAATTAGATATATAATTAGATACTTTTTCTGGGTTATTTTAAGTCAGGATGCTTTACTTGATGGCTGACTGGTATGTGAACTATTGGTCCAAACTGCTGAAAGCAGATAAGGGATTAATAGTGTTAAATTAATCTCTGGAGTCACATTAATATCCGTAAGACTGATCTCACCGTTCTAGCTAAACAACGACCTGGCAAATGTGACCTCATCTCTTGGGAGAGGAAAAACTGTGGAAAAAGCAGACAGTACTATTAAGATTAAAAATTCTAAAAAGATTACGGCTATTATCGATCATCTACTTCCCTGCACACAACAATGGAAAAGTATTGGCCTTTTCATTTGACCTTTAACTGAGAAATGGAAAGATCGACAAAGAAAGATGAAGTAATTATTAAAATACTGCAATATTACTTTGTCAAACATTTCATTGTAGACAAGCATAACAGAATTTCATTTTTTCCATGACCCTGAACTCTTCATGCACCCATCACTAAAGGGGACCCTTTAATTTCCACCTGGAGGTCGTGCTGTGTTTTTTTGAGTGACAGATGACAAGACATATTCCAACTGCAACGTGTTTGAGTACATCAGACAGGCTGTGCACAGCATGTGCCAGATAGTCACTGATCGCAGGCTCCTGCAGCGTTTAAAAGGGATAACCTCGCAAAGTCATTTATTGCTAATTTCGGATGATGTTCCCCTTGGAGAACAGAGGAAGCTCTCAGACTTGAATCACAGGCTTCATTTGTTTAGTTGCCATTTGGGAAAGAAAAATACTGTACCCTCACCTGATACAGTCGGGAGCCTGCCTGAGGTTATCTTGTTTTTGAATTCTCAGTTCCTCAAATAATCGGGAGATAATAATAATAAGAATCCTTGCATTTGATATAGCGCTTTTCACGTCTTCTAGACGTCCCAAAGCGCTTCACAAAATATACTGTAAAGTGAATTGACTATATATTTGTGGGCGAAATGCAGCAGCCAATTGCGCACAGCAGCGTCCTATAAACAGTCGTGAATTGAAAATGACCAATTTCTTATTGGTTTGTTTTGGAGGGATTATTATTAGGCTCTGTGTGGAGTAAGGATACTTGCCCAAGGTTCCGCCCTCTGCCTGAATTGAACTCAGGTCACTCACTTGCAAAGTGAGTGCTCTAACCACTGAGCTACAGGACTCCACAAGCACCGAACAAATGAATTATCCCGTTGGTGCTGAAAGTCTTTGCCCAGCTGCCATATACCTCCTCACATTTGTTTCCATTTAAGGATGTAGGCTCGTAGAGGTCATGTTGAGTATGGGTGAGGATTATCAGAACTACTTGTGATTTTCCTCTCCCTGCATCCCCTCTGAGAATTTGTATTGAGGGCTACTCAGAGTCTGAGCTGTTGTTAGATGACCTGGTCCACTTATACAACCAGCTTTGGTTTAAAGCAACAGATTTTCATCCAGCATTTATCTTTTTCTGATGTGAACATACTGGACCCCTCAGGCATACATCAATTATTTTTATCTTTCCAAGCTTTTCCTGAAGGATCTCGCTGACCTTGCTCAAAATATCTACTTATGTCCTTGAAGAAAGTGAATATTCCTTATTAAGGAATCCGATTAGAATCTTATTAAGGAATCTCAGATTAGTCCCTCCTGTTATATACCGTGATAGACTGGATTTCAAAAAAAGTCAATTTCTTATCCCAGCGAGAAATTCCATGCGAAACCTTTTCCTTCTCAATGGGCTGTTGCTTTTGCTGGGATACAATTAGGTTGCGGAATTGCAGTTCCCGCCTGGTCTCTCTTTAGTACACTTGCACTGGATGATATCATCGCCTTTAGTAGGGTTGGAAGGTTGTGCCAGATTGTCCACTGACTTTAAAGTTGTTTTTTGCCAGTGTCCAGCCTCTAGGCGCTCTGGGACCCTACCCTGTGTGAGGACAGCTATATAAATGCAAGTTCTGCTTGTTATTTTGTCGTTTTCTCTGGGTGCTTGCGGCTCCAGCACAGAATGTGCGTGTAACTTTGAATGACACGGCGACACTTGTAAAATACATTTAATGCCCACATATTGTCATTTTGTATTCAGGATGGTGCCCAAAGCATCAATAATTGGCAGTAGGCAAGGACTTCTGTCATAGTTAATAAACACATTTCGAGGGAAAAATTGAACATTTCCTTTCCTGTTGTAGATGTGCTCTTTTTTCCCCTCTCCCCACCCTAAGGCACTGTGGCTACATCAAAGCAAAGCAAGACCCAGATGAGGAGAAAATGCAGTTCCATCATGGCCAAGGTGAGATAAAATTTCGAAATCAGCTGTAGTTGAGTGACCCAACATCTGAGGTGATCAACTCTGTTTGTTAAGCTAATGAATTTTCAGTTCTATTTTTTTTTACATCAATCATACATCGAGGGTAGGGTTCTGAAAGGGAAGCCATGCCTCTAATTACATTTTTCTTTTTAAAAAAAGAATATTTTTTCCTTCTTTGCTCCAGTTAGGTCTCTGACTGTTTTCGCTCGTCTGGCTGGAAGGGTAGAATGATCATTTGGCCAACGCTGGCGTTGATTAACTACCATTACATTTCTCCAGAATCTGTCCCATGACTTTGTCGCCTGGCTGACAGTTCACAAAATTCTCAATGGGAAAGCTGGAGGGTTAGAATAGATTCGTGCCAGATCTCTTTGAATGATGACTCCCTCTTTCAGCAAAAAAGATGTGAGATCAAATCTTTTTTGGGGGGATGGGGTGGGGGGGATTGTGTCAAGCAGGTTTTATGCACCAAAAAGCAGGAGAGTTGCTACCTTTCTCAAATTATATTACAACAAACGACAAGTACTGGGGAAAACCTCTTTGTTGATAGTAACGGAACTCAATAGAGCAATCAATCTCAGACACGTATTCTTTTCAGCTGTATTTGCTACTGTTAGTGATTTAAAAGATCAGCATAACGATTGTCATAAGTGTATGATTATATATACATTAATTTAGTTCTATAGACACTGGTGGACTGGAGAGGAGGGGTGACTCTTCGAAGAACTAGGGTTGATGGGCACCCCTGCTCATATTTGCCACTGCATTGAGCCTTGCGCGTTTGATAGATTTTTGGATGTGGGAGCAGGGAGGTCATATTGGAATATCTCTAAAAGGGTTTTTGTTGTGCGTATCAATTATAATCTGAACACATTTTATTGTCTTTGATAGTGAGGTTGCCCGAGAGCAGAACTTATGTGCACCCACATACCTACGAAGATCCCAATCAAGCTGTCCGAGACTTTGCAAAGGAAATTGATGCATCAAGCATTCGGATTGAGAGAGTTATCGGGGCTGGTAAGTCAATAAATAGGAAAGTAAGAATGCAGGAGGACAAAGAGGCAATTCTTTTCATCTGACTGAATGACAGCCTGTTAACACAATAACGATAAGTGGATCATTTCCCCCAGTTGAGAATTTACTAGATTTGGCCATGCATTTACAATAGAATTTTATTATGAACACACACCATTAAATCCACTACATTTCCAGATAGTGGAATAAACGCTCCTCGATAGGTGCTGTATTTCTGCTGTCTTCCTCTCTTCCATTTTGCATTAAAATTTAAGTTTGTGCAGAATTGTGTACATTTTTAATTTCAATCTTAATTTGGATACTGGTTTTCTGTAGTTCTTAAAAACAATCCACCTTCTGCATTAAGACTGAGGTTTTCCCACCAGAATACTGCACAATCTTAAGACATTGCGTCTGGTGTCTAACTCGTAAATTTAATTTTTTTTATGTATCCAAAGTATTCTCATTCAGGTGATCTGAAATTTCATTTCAGTTTCTTAGCACTCATCTTCTTTGCTTTTACACATCTAAATCTATGACTTCCACGTCTCCACATTTCAACAGGATTCTTTTGAGTCAGTTAATACAGACCTATATTAATGACATTCTGGGGCCGACCACAAGAGGTGTGATCTGGAACTCGTCGAGGGAATCACAAATGCAACCTAACATTCAGTGGCGTGGTGTGAATAAATTGATTTTCAATGAAATCTGGGCTCTAAAATATTCAGGCTGTTGAAAGTACAATTCAAATGGATGCACTGCCATTTCTCTTGTATTTTATATTTTATGTATTATAATTGTATTTATGTATTTTATATTCTGACATGAAGGAATTTATTTACATTTGTCCAATTTGAAATTTGAAAAGCTAATGATTTTGAGAGATTCAGTGGAAAGTGAAACCAAAGGATATACAGAAAGAAAGAGGATGAGAAGAAGTTTCAGAAAAAGATCTACCAGCACATTTTTTTCTGGAGATCTGCGAAAAAAAAGAATGAAATCTACACTTGATAAATTCGCACACTCGTTCATTGTGTCTTCCATTGACCACAATGAACATGATTTTAATACTGACATATTAATTCGTATGAATACTCCAGTGTATTGCTTGAGAGTCAAGTTTGCTATGTTGTCTTTTGATCAGGTGAATTTGGGGAGGTTTGCAGTGGGCGTTTGAAGTTACCTGGTAAGCGAGAGATCTATGTCGCCATCAAGAGTTTGAAAGCAGGTTATTCGGAGAAGCAGCGCAGAGATTTCCTGAGCGAGGCAAGCATTATGGGTCAGTTTGATAACCCCAACATCATCCGCCTGGAAGGGGTGGTTACAAAATGTAAGTACTTCTGACCTAGTCAAACCACAGTAGGTGTTTGACGTAGTGGGTTCTGGTAGACATTTCTGTACTTGAGAACTGATCGAGCTGAAAGTAAGTGCGACTTGATTTCTTTGCATAATTGAGACAATCAAATCTTAGCGCATTAAGTCAATGAAACTCTCTGACATGAAACAATTTACTTATATTTGCTCAGTTCAGTGTTCATTTAAATGACAATATTGCTTTCCTAGGGGAATATGTAGATGAAACACAGATCCTGAAATAGCCAAGAAGTGCCCAATCAGAGGTTGTTACAACCCCATATCCAAACCTGCAACACACTGGCTCTTCAGTCTACACTGCATCAGCTGCAGGTTGAAATTTGATTTTTTTTTTAAAAGTTGGTATCAATCCTCACCCGTGCTAAATTTAAATCCAGTAAGTAGTAAAATAAGGTAACATAAAGCTGCTTTAAAGGATGAGTCTGGTCCTTAGATCCTTCTGCTAGACAAGTGCTTCATATTGACCACTGATATCCAAATGAAAAGTACCAAGTATAAGAAGTGTTGCCATTACTAAGCCAACAAAGGTAAGGGATATAGTCCACTGCTATACCACAGAGATAAGAAATGTATCTAACATTAATCTATCAGGTATAGGCAATGTTTTCCAAACTGATCCAAGTTCATATCAGTTTTGATCTGCGTTTCATTCTTCAGTACAGAATACTCTTCAAGCAGGTCCGAAATGGAAATTAAATTAGTTATAGTTGAGAGTGGTATTCATACCTCTGCTACTACCCCAAGCCATTCTGCAAAGAGGCTTGCATTACCTTCTTTAAAGTTACAGCAAATAAAGATTGATTTTTTTAGTACTTTTGAACTGTGGCCCTTTGTCAAGGGATATGCTCGGTTCGAAAATTAATCTCTCATCACATCCTTTGCTGAAAGATAAAGCTTATTGCACCACAGAATACATTTGCATGTATTCATAAAATATGGTTGAACCCTAATTAATATTGCACTCCACTTCTTTTGTCTGGTTGTCGGTTTGTGCGATTATGAATATTCATTCTTTGTGTGTTGATTAATGAATTGTAAATAGATTACAGGTCCAGTCTCCAAGGCTTTTGGTATGCAGATCAAAACAATCATCATTTGTGCTCAGCTTTGAATATTTAATTCTGATTAATTTCACCAGTTCAGGCAAACAGAATAATTAGATGTATTGAACTTTCACATTACTATGAATATTCAATTGAAAAACTTGATTAAGAAGAGTATTTCATGGATGAACTTACTTATATTATAGGAAAAGATCAGAAATGTGCTACAACAAGATTTTGTGTATTTAGGCAAGGCAATTAAATCATTTTTTGACAATTAACCGAACCTTAAGAGGTTAAATTTCATTAAATAAGGTGCAAGATCAAGGTTATCCCTAAGTGAAAATCTTCTCTAAGGCCTATTTAGTTCAATCGCTATGCAATGTTTAAACAGGGATTCCTTTCAAGCTACCTTTAACAATGAAATACTAACAGGGAAGTTCTGATCAATTTGAAAAAAACTTTGTTGTCCATTATAATAATATAATAATCCTTGCATTTGATATAGCGCTTTTCACGTCGGGAGGACGTCCCAAAGCGCTTCACAGAACACACTGTAAAGTGAATTGACTGTATATTTGTGGGCGAACGCGGCAGCCAATTGCGTACAGCAATGTCCCACAGACAGTCGTAGATTGAAAATGACCAATTTCATTATTGTTTTTAGTTTTGTAGGGATTATTATTAGGCTGTGTGTGGAGTAAGGAAACTTGCCCAAGGTTTCGCCCTCTGCCTGGAATTGAACTCAGGTCTCTCGCTTGCAAAGCGAGTGCTCTAACTACTGAGCTACAGGACTCCATTGAACGGGAAAACAAAGCAATTTGGCTAGCTAATTGATTCCCATAGATAAAATAGACCTGGATCTAAGCAGTCCAAGAACCAATGGGTCCCTTGGATCTTCTATGATACTTTCAAATATCTACAAAATGAACACACTCACTAACTATACTTTACATGCAATATATCTTTAAAAAGTGCTTTGATACATCACAGTGACGTGATAAGGCACTATATGAAACACAGATAGGGCACTATATGAAACACAAGGATTATAATTACTTACTTTTCTCCTCGCATTCTTACTTTAGATATTAAGCCGAATCATAAAATGCCTTAAAAATGCGCAATAGGTTACCTCAAAACAAATAATGCCATCTCGTGCTGTAGAAAAAACCTTTCACTATGGCAATATTTTAATTGGTATTATAAACTACACTGTTCCAGATTTTTCTATCCGAAATCCTATGTTAGTCTAATGTTCTCAGTATCTGAAATAATCCAATGAACTGGATGGCACTGGCTAGAAAAGTGTTTATGCATTACATCAATTTTTGATATCCAACATGTGGTTAGAGTTTTAAAATTAAAAATGTAGCACATGTTTTTATCTAAATTCTTAAATGACAACATATCAATGAATACTTTCTTAAAAGCATCAGTGAAACATTGCTCAATGTCCCTTTTGAATCCACAACTTTATTAATAGGCAATGCATTTTTCTCATGAATGGGGATAATACGAAATAAAATGTCATACGATTCAGTGAGAGTGAGAGAGGTCTGAATGTCTCTTCCATTCTTCACAATTTCCCAATGCTTCCCGTCACATACCATCGGCAAAATAGTTCCTTCAACTAAACAGCATTAGGTGATGAACACCCATGAAGAGCAGATTGATTACTGCCAGTCTGTTCTCCATGGGCATCATTACCCTTGTGAACGTGAGCCGAATGTTAAGCTAAAAGAGAAGCATCGGTGGAAAACCAGCCAATGTAGGACTCTGTCTCCCTGTCTCCCTCGATAATGACTTCACGCACTGCTGCTGTAAACAGCCTCCTGCTACAATGGAGCGCGAGATCATTAGCACAAGGTGGGTAAAAACTGTTTTACACTACTACAGAGATCAGAGTTTGAGAGGTATTTTAACACATATGTGCATATCCACTATTAATACTGCTAAAATAGTCTGAGAAGGACATAGCATCATTCTAAATGTATCTATTCACAATGATATAAAATCCAAGATTGGAATCTTATATTTAATTGTATTCTAGGTGGCATTGGTTCCGAACAATGCACATGCAAGGATTATAATAAGCAGACTTCTGACTTCATTATGCAAAGGAACTAAAAATTGTATTGCTTGTCAAACATCAGTCTTTTTTAGTTTCCAACTTTTTTTTGGAAAAAAAACTTTCTGGTGGATTGGGCTGGCAAATAATTCAGTGCTACACCTTCCAAAAAGGAAACATTTGCAAAATACGGTCAGCGCAACTCAGAAATGCTGCATCCGTACATGATGTTTGACTGGCAGTGTTACAATTTTAAATTGGAATAGTTCCAGCACCAGTCTTTTCAATTTGTTCCAGAATTATTGGACGTGCTGAGTTAATTGATATAAATATAAGAAATGACCAGCCTAAAGAGGATCCGTAGTGCAGGAAGTTTAAATGCGATTTTTTTTAAGCACACTAAAATAATTAATTTTACGTTGAATAACAGATTAGACAATTTTGACAATTCAGGTCAATCGGGCTAATGTAACCTGTATTTAACAGCCATCCTGCCATCAACAATCCATTTGGTTTATTCCTGATGGGGACCACTTAATGCAGGTCTGCTTGAAATTCTATATCAGACTCAATAAACTCTTCTGACATGTGGGTTCCGGAGGCGGCTTCTGGATGGCAGGTCTTGTATACAGGAATCAATAATCATTTTCCCACCAGGGTCAGAGTGCAATATATTTGGGTAGAGTCATTTGAGAGTTCGCAGTTTATTCTGCCAGGAACACAGGCTCATTCAGCTGTTTTAAACAGCTGACTCATCTGGATATCCTGACTGCTGGCAGCCATGGCCATGATGTATGCAACAGCTCGGCCTATTGATTTTTGGAGACGTTCTAAAATCATGAGGCAATTTTAGATGCTCAATCCCTTTAAAGAGGTGGAGTGAGTGGTGCATTTTTGGGGATCTAAAAGCAGTTGTAAAAGATAGATTCGCCCACAAAATATATGGTCAATTCACTTCACAGTATATTCTGTGAAGCGCTTTGAGACGTCTCGAAGACGTGATAAGGGACTATATCAAATACAAGGATTATTATTATTATAGATTGTATGTCAGAAATCGGAATCCGCTGTAATTTTGAGCAAATGTGTAAATATTTCCGATTTATTGGCTGATCAACAAAATGCTCTTGTCATTTTGGTTTACTTTTGAATTGCTTGTAAAATGCTACTTGTAAACGTATCAAACGTAAAACTTAACCACTCAACAACCACAATTACTTACTAACCTTGTTCTATCATGGCATCTAATGCAATACAGTAACCTTCCACTACCTCCTGAAATAGGGATGAAATCGGATGGGCCAAAGTGCCTCTTCATCCAGCCAAACCTTGTGATAAAGCCAAACATCTTCACTGAAAAGAATTCCTAAGCCCAAAGTTCTTCATCACTTGCCTTTAAAATATCAACGACTTCCTCTGAAGGGACCATGATTCCACTTTCAGCTCTTCAGTAAAAGCAACACCTTTAAGGCGTTACATTAACATTTATGCAGTAACGGTACAAAGCTGAACAAAAGAAGACAACCTCCTCAAGGTGCTGCTTCTGTTAAACTAATTCACTCCCCTTAAAACTGCTGGAGTTAGTAGGATTTGGGTAGGAAGTGGAAATGGACTGGATAGTCCTCAGGGTATTTATGTAATAAACTATGTGTTGAATTCTAGTTAAATTGTCTCAGAGACATACAACACATAGCAGTATCTTTTGGAAACTGGGTATAGTGATAGCTTTAAACTCATGGGATAGAACATACTGTATTGTATTAGGAAATAAATCAATTGAGCCCCTCTATACCACCATCACTACCACCAAGCAGACTGAGAATAGAGCAGTAATTCTAAGTA